AAAGGATGAAGCATGGGAACAGTCAAAAACTGGCACCAAGTTTAAGTGAATGAAAACATCCATCCTGCACTTAATCACATATCCTGACGCATCACATGATAGTCTTGCAATACATCAATGATGACAGAATCCCTGTATCGTGATTTCATTATTGTGGGCCAAGAATCAGGACCAAGTGAGTAACCCTGTGTTTTTCCTCCCGTAGTTCAAATCAACTTTCTTAAAAAAAATGAGTTCTAGTTGATTTAAAGGGAAATGTATCAGCAAATATATACTCGCTTATAGTATATACTTCTCCTAGACAAAATAATGACCATTATGCACATGTAGCTTGTGATAAGACTCAAACGTTTTCTGTTCAGTCATCCATGCTGTAAAGATCTTGGCAGCATAACAGCAGGAAGCAGCCATGTCAGCTCCCACTCAGACCCACAAGTTCATTTGAATCACAGAAGAACAAATTAATGAACACCTACACACCAGACCAGTATCTCAAAGCTCCTGCGAAAGAAATCAGTTGTTCACAATCCCAAGAGAGCAATTTGACACATTTTAACATCTGTTTAAGGACGGTAAAGGGAAATGTTCATACTTATGGAATCTTTTCCTCGTAATTTAATTTGACGATTTATCAAAATCAAGATTTCACAGAGATGTAGTTTTCAAATGGTAGCTGGTGGTGTTGATCTAAAGGACATCTTTTTCTACTGAGTTAAAGTATTGACACTGTTCATATCTGTCCAATCACTACAGTACATACACAGTATTGACGTTGGGGAAGTGAAATCAGTTTATTCTACTCTTCACCCAGTATTAAACCTCAGGCCCCCCCGGGCAGGACTCTGGTCAGCTCACTCCCAGTTCAATGAACCAAACTCCCAGTTGAACTGATTCATTTGCAATTGATTGATGCCAACACAACAGTTTTCATGCTACCGTCATGTGAGCAGGTCAAAAGTTCACAGAGATGAATGGTTTGAATGTAGTTTTAAATTTAACCACGATTCTAAAAAACTGGTTATGATGAGTGTGACGTACTCTCCCCCAATCACAGATATTTAAATATTTCTAATGACAAACTCGAGACCAAACGCACAACAACAAATGAGGCAGTGCTGTGGTTTGTCTACTCAGTTAGTTAGTGTACGCTCAAACTGTGACTCATTGGCCATGTTAATACCTTACAGATGTTATATGGAGCCAGACTCGACTAAATCGAAGATCCTTCACAAATAACAAAAAGGATTTATCAAGTACCTATTTTGTTTAACAGCATTGAGCAAAGCATAAAAACAAGAATTTAGTTTTTTCCTTTTTAAAATAGTCTTACTTGATATTCCACATTTTTAACTTTTATCTGTTCATTACATTTCCATAAGTTGAAGTCCTCTTCATTTCTACCTTCTTTTCACTTACCATGTTTTACTGATTGCTGGTATATTCTTACAGATGGATTACTTTATCTTTAACGGGTTATTCTCTTAAGTATTGATCACTGTTGTCACTTTATCATGTTTTGTTCTGTAATTTGTGTGTAAGGAGGCCAACTCACTCACTGTAAACCCGATCTACCTACAGGTTAAACTAAAGTTCACTTACTATCTCTATGAATAAACATCCTGCAGTAGCAAAGGATATAATGACTGAAGATAGGCAAAGCATTCTAACTCATTTATAAATGTGGGAGAGACATCATAATCTGCTCTCTCACACACAATTGAGAGATGGTCACAGGTTAATTCTCACACCTTGTTTTTATATAATTTCTTGTTTTTCTGCTCGGCCCTATATGGAGGTTCAATAGACACGGGTATTTCTTTACAGCCACAACAACAAAAAGAAAAAAAGACAAAACATGGAACGAAAGAAATGTTTGGATATTATCTTTATTTGTTCCATATTAACAAAAAATTCAAAGGTGAAGCTGGGTTTCTGAGGGTTGGTCAGCATGGTGGGAAACTTAATGGGCGGGCTCTGAAAAAAAAGAAGAAGAGCACAAAAAAGTTTTTAATAACCCAGATGCATAAAACACATTCTGTCCAACCCAGACTGGGCCATGTTCTTGATTTATTTAACCGCTAAAGAGCCCTAAAATATCAGCCAGTATTAGCTGGATTAGCCATTTGTCAGCGACATCTAGAGGAAATCACATGTAATTGCACCGCATCCAACTCTTGATTTTTCTTGGTCACCTTTTTAAAATTGACATTTCTTTATTTTCAATTTAAAGAGAAAATAAGAGACAAAAATCATAAAATCTACACAAAGTTGTTAATAATGAAAGTGATTATTATGCTCCCTAAAAAAAGATAAAAGGCAATCCTGATATATAACTTCATTATTTATACAATAACCAACAAATTAGATCATATAGCAAATTATATAACATAAAGTAATACAAGGTCAAAACAAAATAGCTATACATCTGTACTGTTACTATTTACACCATTACCCCATATTCATAAAGGTCTGTAAGCATAGCCACTAATGGTCAGTGAAATTTTGATACACTGAGTATGAAAATATATTTTGGGCCATTGCACAAAATTATAAAAATACATAAAACACTTGAAATAGTTCACAAGTGAATAAAATTGTGTGTATTTCTTGTAGCTATTGAATAAAATATATGTTGTACAATACATGAAGTGGAATTTATAAACATACAGAGCCAACTATTTTACGATTGGAAAAAAATGAATATACAGTGTGTACATATTGAACCTTAACCCCAAAGTTGTGACGAGTATTGTAGGTTAATTTCCAGCTGAATAGTGTCAGTTTAGAAGATGTTCGAGCACTTACTGTCCTTCACGGCCTTCTTGCCTGGAATAAAAAGAAGCACAGCTCATATTAGTCACATTCAGCACAAACTAATATGAAACACCTCTGAGTTTTACGACAACTGCTTACATTCATGTTTCAGTATTTGGTAAAGTAAATTTTATGACAAAAATGTGTTTCAATGCAAATTATAGGGTACAACAATGTGCAATAATTACCTAACTGCAGCTAACTGTTCAATAATACTTGTTTAATAACTTTGTAACTCACTGCTTTATAATTGTCTATTTATTTATTCATTCAGTCACTGCACAAATACTCAGTCACTGCACTATAACTTCACTTATTTGCACTATATCTCTATATTTATATTTGTTTAATGAATCAGTCACTGCAAAAATAATAACTGTATATATTCTTCCAGTGAACACAACTGTCTATTTATTTATTATCATCATCATTCATTCACTGAACAGCCACTTTTTGCACACTTCTCTCTCACATCACAAATATATTTTAATTGTTTTTGTAAACGCTGCTGTTTAAGGTTTGCTGCTAACGAAGTTTCGCTGTGTCCTTGTATACAAAGATAATAAAGATTATATCTATAAGTTATAATGTAAGCATTTCTACTTAGACTTGAAGTGTGAACTCACAGGCCTTCTTGCCTGGAGCAGAAACAAGCACAGCTTATATCAGTCACATTCAGCACAAACTAATATGAAACACCGCTCGAGTTTTATGACAACTGCTGAAATTCACGTTTCAGTACTTGGGGAGAGTAAATGTGACAGCAGTTTCTGACGGTGTGTTTCAACGCAAGTTATAGGGTACAACAAGTTCTAATGTAAAGCATGTTATTGTTCCACCTGTGAACTCACCTCCATAGGACACTTTGTAGTACAGGTATGTCATGATGCCCATGCCCACCCACATCTCCTGGTAGGCCTTTGTGTAGTACGGGCTCATCAAGGACCACCAGTTTGTAAAAGCCTTTCCAGCCATCTGTAAGACAAAGAAATGTCAAAAAAATCTCTCAGGATGATGTCACAACTTCAAATTACAGTTTGACAACTAAAACACAGGTGAAGGACAGACAGTCCAAGACGTTTCAACACTCCCAAGATTTAACTAGTAACTTGAACACCCTAGGCTCCAATGCTGACTTCAGGTGTGTTTTTAACCTGGTTTCCCTCCTGCAGATTATCTTGTCACTGGATTTAAAGCTGATGAAGAAGCTGAAGGACCCAAAATACAACCGTGACCCTCAGATGTGTCAGGCCTACAAGTGACTTTGGACACCTGCGAAACTGAGCTCAAAACAAACAGGTGAAGCGGCACCTTTTGTTTTTTTTATTTTATTTACTTTGACACTACCATTCAAATGTCTGAATCAATGAAGGGCCCCCCCCCTGCTGAGCACATTCACCGGATAACCAGGAAAGGACGCTAACTAGAGCTAGCCACTTAGCTCGCTGTAGCACACGCAGCCTCAGTAAGAAACGACGTTGGCTTCATTTTAATGTAAGGTTGTTAAGTTAATCATTTGCATTTTAAAACTGAGGTGAATGCAACTAAAAAAAAAGTGTGACTTCTTCTCTTACCTTTCAGTTTGTCACGCTGCTGCAGGAAGGTCAGGAAAGACGCTGCTGCTAAACACCAAAGTCGTGGGGGAAGTCTTCTTCTACGCTCCTCTGTGTAGCGTTTACTTCCTGTTTTTGGACTACAGCGCCACCCAATGGAGGTACACGATACACGATTTTACGACTAGCTATCTGTTGGCTCCACCTTGAGGATTTAACTGCGAATACTAAACATAAATAGTTCCTCTCTTGAACTGATTTACATTTTTATATGAATTTGGAAATATTCTCATTTTGACAAATCAAGAATTATATGCAGTATATTATTGAAGAGGTCTGAGGCAGTCAGAGGGTTATGCATACAAAGCCTTTAATACATCAGGGCTACAGATTCATAAAAACATGCCAATATGTTTCAGCCATACAGGCCTTCATCAGGGCAGGTTACCATGCCGGCATGTTTTTTATGAATTAATATTTGGTCAGAGATCTAAAAAAATGTTGTGGTTTTTATTTCAGAGGTCAAAGGCCAACAGCTGGCAACTTGTTTCATGGTTACATATACAATAAATCACCACTGAAAAGTATAAATACAGACTTTTAAATCAAAAATAGCAACACATCACACAGTTTAAACCTGCTATCATTTTCCTTTAATTCATGCATTTATATCCTGCCTTCTTAAATGATCTTCACCATCATAACAATTTAAACTGTACCCTCTTGTTTCACTTTCCATTGCAATTCACAGATCTTATATCTTGTTTTACTTTATGACACCCGTGCTTTGCCGTGATAGAAGTGGGAATTTGAGGTGAGGGTGCAGCTGCTGTGTGGGACACCGACTTTCCACCAGCTTTGTCCGCTCACCATAGTGAAGCAACAAATAAAACACTGGCACTGCTCTCAAGGGTAAAGGTGGCATAGTGTGACATGCTCTACTGTTATTCCCCTCCCCTCCCCCCTCTCTCTCTCTTCAGGTACAGCTAATTATATCAACAATGGGTTTTTTTTTTTGTCCCTGATTTACTGAGAATCCAAGTATGAATTTTATTTCCAGGTCAAGTATTACAAAACATGTATCATTTACTTGTTTTCCACTTTAAACTAAAAAGCCTTAGTAGACAGCTGTAGCCAAAGTGAAACTCAGAGAGTGAAAGCTTGATAACATTGTAAAACACTGATATGAAACATCAAGGGAACCTGAAACAGTTAAGCATTAATGAAACAAACCAAAGGTCTTCTTGTTCCTTAACTCTTACATTATTGCACTTCTGTAGCTCTCCAACAGGAATAAGAAGAGGGGGACAAACCTTGCAAACAAACCTGAACACTAATCTAATCACCTCTGGGACTTGTCAGGATATGACTTTTTTTTTTCTTCCAGAGAAGATTAGGTGTGTATTTTAGCCTGCAGGAGTGATCTTGGCCTGGAGTGAATGTGGGCGGGACTTCCAGCCTTTTTTGTCCGGCACACTCCAATGGGAAAAGGCACCTTGTTTCATTTATGAGCACCTAAAGGCCACGTCCTATTTGAAGGGACTCAACATAGTGAAACCAAACAGTGTTGTGCCAATATGAAAGGACACAGCTGAGGACATTTCCTGTGCAGTTCTTTATTGTTGTGCACCATAGCTGTGTTCAGTGACTACAGCGCTACAGGTATGTTGAGGATTTGTGACCAGGCTGTCTATTTTAATATATCTACATTAGCTCTTTCCATACAGCAGACTATTGAATCCTCTTTGAGCTCTGTGTTTGAGCATTTGCATGTGTCTACTTGTATGTGTGTGTGTTTCTGTGGTAACGTCAGGGTGTGGATGGGTGCGTTCTTTCTCTTACATGACTAATGAGGCAGCAGAGATCAGATCCAATGTTTTGGAAAAAAGAAAGTTTGCTCAGCAGTATTTACCCTGAGCTTTCTGCGCTTTCTCCGGAGTGGACAATTGACTTCTCCACGTTTTCCTGTTCCCTCTCTGAGGTTGATCTTTCGCTGTGGTTGGAGGCTGCATGGCTTCGGGTGGAGCAGAGGAAGACGATGGAGGCATTCCATTGGACATCGACAACATGCACATGCTCCTCCAAGGTCAGTCTATTCCTGTACTTTAATATGTGCTGTGGAAAGTGATTTGTTGTCATGGGAATTACAGTGCTGACCAAACTCGCTCTGATATGACAGAACTCTAATACTCACGATGAATGCATGAGTTTACAATGTGCATTACATGGCAGGTTGACCCTCAGGTTAAGGCAGCGCCAAGCTAAGAAGTGAGAGTGTTACATGCACTGTGGGCTCGTACATTTTGAGGGAAAGTGGAGGTGGTGGCCCGTCTCACCAGCTTTTTGTAAACTTAATGACGATACATTTTATTTTTCTGTTTCGGGACGTCACATCCAAAACATTTAAAGACTTTTCTGACAATCCAAAACATTAAGTAAACAGAAAGGCTCTGAACGGGGCGCTGCTGGGGATGTGATTAGTGTGCACGCTCCATGTACAGAGGCTATAGTCCTCTTATGTGGACGGCACAGGTTCGAATCCGACCTGTCTGCTTTCCCACATAATTTCCCACTCTCTGGTTTTTGGCTCTATCGACTGTCCTATCTCTAAATAAAGACAGAATAATCCCCAAAATAAACCTTAAAACACGCAGAAATTCTGTGAACTGAAACCACTGAGATAATGTAACATGTATCATAATGAAGGGGTTAAGATTCAGAATATTACAATGATTTAGAGAATCTGCTGCTTTGTTTTTGCCTTGACTCATTTAAAAAACATTTGTACAAAGACTAAGTTATAAAAAGTCAACTTTGAATGTGATCTATATTTGTAATACAGTCTCTTTAACATCCATTATCACCCAACCTTTTGCTAAGTCTGCACAAAAGGACTGATATTTGCCCACGTTTGTAGAAAAAAAAAAAAATGAGGCATGTAATTTATGGATGAATTCAATACAGTTGTTTACCTATTGACATAGTATCAATAATATTTTAATATTCACCTGAACACACTAGATGACAGCTGCTGCTTCAGGCACACACAAAAGGACAGTTGTAAGGTCAAGTTTACAAAATGTTCTGTTGTTACAGAGATGTATGCAGCCTCTATCTTTATTTTTACTGTTGAATTTAAAGACTAAATAATGGCTTGTGTTTGGTATGAAATGAGTCACTCTAGTTCACAAAAATAAAACAGGTCACTCGTTGTCTTAACAACTGCAGATATAAAGTCTGTGTTTCTATACTGCTCCATATTATATCTTCAGCTTTCATCACTAAAAGACCTGTAGAGTTTGTTTGCTCTACACCAATAAGCTTGCATTTGAGGAAACATCGAGTTTCCTGGTCTTCAATCATCGTTGCATTATTTTGACTGGATTATTCTTTTTACTTCATGAAGTAAAAACTACCGCGCAGGAAAGATGTTCATTTGGCTAAAACCTCTAAAAATGTCCACTGCAGTCATAGTATACATCGTAGCCAATCACCAAACATACACACATGACAGAACTAAACAGGTCATGTCATTATTGCGTTGTAAAAATAAGTGAATGAATCTTAATTTTATATATTTGTTTTATATTTCTGAGACATTTCGATGCAGAAATGTGCAGAACTTAGTAATGATGTCTCATCAGTGTCCAGAATTTTATATTTTCTTTCACAGTTTTTTTAGAATAAGATTTTATTAACCATCAGGCTCCAAAACAAATGCACAACTATAATTACAAGTTATTAATGTGGTTTATTTTGGGGCTTTTTCTGCCTTTCTTGTAGAGACAGGACGAGTGGATAGAGTCTGAAATCAGGGACAGAGAGAGAGTGGGGAATGCTATGCGTGAAGGGATTTGAACCCAGGCTGTCCACTCAGAGGACTACACCCGTTGTACATGGGGCATGTGCTCTAACCCCTATACGCTATCAACGCCCCCCTTACTATGGTATCCTAGCTGAAAATAATATCACAATGTCCTTATTGAAATCTCCACACACACAGAGACTCTCATGACATTAAATCATTTTCTGTTTGTTGATCTATAATTGGTCCATGAGAAAACACATTTGACTGATGCGTCTGAAAAAGGCCTGAAGCGAAAAGTTATTATACATGTGATGAAGCCGCTTTCTTCTTTTGTACTGGGCATGCCAGTGAACTGGGTGGAGGCCAGCGATTAAAATTCTGAGGTGTTCCCCTCCTTGGCAAGCTCTTAAACAAACAGCCGACTCACATGGAGGACAAGTGTGAGTGCATAAAACTGAAAGTGATTTTCTCTGATTTCCACAAACATCTCTTTATTGATAAAAGGATTGACTGATGATTTAGTCTCATGGGACCACACACTACTACTGTGTGTCATTATGAAGGTTGTATTTAAAGTCAACACTATCACTGATCATCTAAACCTCTTGGGTAACATCATCGCTTTTAAAAACTTAAAGTACAGGACCAGGTGCCCTTCTGTGTGGAGCTTGCATGTTCTCCCCCCCTGCATGTGTGGGTTCTCTCTGGGTACTCCAGGTACTCTGGCCTCCTCTCACAATCCACAGACCTGCTCGTTAGGTTCATTTGTGATTCTTGATTGGCTCCATTTTTGCTGTCAATTTACTCTTCAGGCTATATAGAAGATAAATTCCTATGCTATACCTCCCTCCACATTCCTATGAGATTTCCATCTCTCCTATGACACCGTAACAAGGACATCCTTTAACACATTATAAATAGTATAAGTTTAATATTTTGGTAACAGAAGCTTACAGGTTCTGGTCTAGTACCCTTTGAAGAACCATGTATGACCAAATCCGCTCACTGTGTGTGTGCATACGTCTGTCTGAGAGTTCATTATCGCTGTGAGAGTGTCTCTGTGTGTATTAACAGTGTGTGAGAGTGTCTCTGTGTGTATTAACAGTGTGTGAGTGTCTCTGTGTGTATTAACAGTGTGTGAGAGTGTCTCTGTGTGTATTAACTGTGTGTGAGAGTGTCTCTGTGTGTATTAGCAGTGTGAGAGTGTCTCTGTGTGTATTATCTGTGTGTGAGAGTGTCTCTGTGTGTATTATCTGTGTGTGAGAGTGTCTCTGTGTGTATTATCTGTGTGAGAGAGTGTCTCTGTGTGTATTATCTGTGTGTGAGAGTGTCTCTGTGTGTATTAGCAGTGTGAGAGTGTCTCTGTGTGTATTATCTGTGTGTGAGAGTGTCTCTGTGTATATTAACAGTGTGAGAGTGTCTCTGTGTATATTATCAGTGTGTGAGAGTGTCTCTGTGTATATTAACAGTGTGTGAGAGTGTCTCTGTGTGTATTAACAGTGTGAGAGTGTCTCTGTGTATATTATCAGTGTGTGAGAGTGTCTCTGTGTGTATTAACAGTGTGTGAGTGTCTCTGTGTGTATTAACAGTGTGTGAGAGTGTCTCTGTGTGTATTAACTGTGTGTGAGAGTGTCTCTGTGTGTATTAACTGTGTGTGAGAGTGTCTCTGTGTGTATTAACTGTGTGTGAGAGTGTCTCTGTGTGTATTAACTGTGTGTGAGAGTGTCTCTGTGTGTATTAACAGTGTGAGAGTGTCTCTGTGTATATTATCAGTGTGTGAGAGTGTCTCTGTGTGTATTAACTGTGTGTGTGAGTGTCTCTGTGTGTATTATCTGTGTGTGAGAGTGTCTCTGTGTGTATTAACTGTGTGTGAGAGTGTCTCTGTGTGTATTAACAGTGTGAGAGTGTCTCTGTGTATATTATCAGTGTGTGAGAGTGTCTCTGTGTATATTAACTGTGTGTGTGAGTGTCTCTGTGTGTATTAACTGTGTGTGAGAGTGTCTCTGTGTGTATTAACAGTGTGAGAGTGTCTCTGTGTGTATTATCTGTGTGTGAGAGTGTCTCTGTGTGTATTATCTGTGTGTGAGAGTGTCTCTGTGTGTATAAACAGTGTGTGAGAGTCTCTGTGTGTATTAACTGTGTGTGTGAGTGTCTCTCTGTGTATTATCTGTGTGTGAGAGTGTGTGTATCTGTGTGTGACAGTGTCAGTGTCTATGTATGTCACCGTCTTGGAAGCCATCCCGGCTTGTATCCAGATCTTAGCTGGCAGCCGTACTCCAGCGTTAAGAGGAACTCCGGGTCACCGTGTGTTAGACAGGGCCGTGTTATGCTGTTTAAACTTCCCTCATTATACATGGATTTACTGACTATCGCTAATAAGCATGGAGGGCGGAGGAGTGTGTCACTCGGCTGCTGCTGGTGAGTATCTGATTACCTGCCTGCAGCTCAAAGGAGCGCTGCACTGTTGTTATGAAGTTTCAGGATTATGAATGATTCAGCTGCAGCATGTTTCAGACAGGGGAGGTCAGCTCCCTCTGAACATTTATATTTAATAGTTTGTTCAGTCCAACTGGAGTTGGTACTAGCCTACCAATGACAAAAAAACAAAAACAACAATTTCACACCATTGCTGCTCTACCTATTGTAAAGCATAGTGAGACATAAAGGAAACAATGTACTAATAATGAAACACTGCGTGCATTTTTTATTTAAACTCAAAACTCAAGTTTGAGTTTAACAGAGGCGCTGCTTGTCAACAGGCAAGGCAGGCAACTGACAGGGCTGCAATGACACTAGGAAACCTTCCTAAGAGGGCCCCATCTGGCAGCATTCCCTCTTATTGCCCTGCTGAACGCTGGTTTGAGGGCCCCCCCCCAACTGATCTTTTCCTTGGGGCCCCAATAGACTCGCCACTGGAGCTTAAATAATATCGCAGCTCTTCATGTCATCCAACAGAGAGAGTTCTAGCGTTCTCTCATTCTTTACTTTGGATTGTGAAACGATTCAAATCTTTTGTCTGTTTCCTCGACAGTGGAGCATGATCAGATTCAGAAAAGGACGTTCACCAACTGGATCAACGCTCAACTCTCGAAGGTAAGTTGAGCATCACGGGTACACATATCACTCATCTGTGACGCTCGTTGGATAAATGAACACAACATGTTTGCTGCATTTGTTGAAGAGCGCTCGAGAGCTGTATGCATGTTATACTTAAAACAACACAAGAGTAATCTTTTTTATGCTTGTCAAGTCAGAACCTTGTACTTAAGATAAGATAAGATAAGATAATCCTTCACTGATCCCCAGAGAGGAAACTCAAGTGTTGCAGCAGTAAAAGACAAGAAGAAGAGTACAAATAAAATGAGAATTTATAGGAATAAAATAAAAAGTAAAGATAAAGGCAATATGTATTTACAACTATTACAAGCAAGTAATTCAAAGTAATAGTAAATAATGTTTTTTTTTTCTTTTAAATGAAACTTTATTAAAGATAACAGCACATAAACGTTTGTTATCAGCTATCAAATGAGAAAGATCTTTATGAGATTTTTCAACTTGTCAGTTGAAGTGTTTTATAGTGAGTGTGTGAGAGAAAGGATGATGTAATGGTGCAGGTCAGGTTTTTTTTTTTTTTTTCACTGCAGACTGTTTCCTACTATTTGTTCACATGTAAGAGGAAAACTGTTTTGTATTGCATGCCTTCACTTTCTGCACAAGCTTTAGAAATGTCTTCGATATTTTGTCTTAGATGGAAAGTGCTGACTTATGTTTTTGCACAAAGTTAAGCTGCTTTTCCGTGTGCTATACTTAGACAAGCTTGAGCATTAAAAATGTTTTCTTAAACTCTACCAAGGGACTGTTGTGTGGCATGATGTCATGCTGCGGTGAAGCTGTAAGTGATATTAAGCAAACTTTAGACATGCTGACTCATTGCTGAGGTTCAGTGAAGCAGCTCATCACAGATCTGAGACACTGAGACGTCTGTGACTCTCGCCCGGCGTATAAATAGTTCCCCGGTGAAGCAGAACAGCGCGTAACCTGAATCCTGCCACCTCGTCATAAAAAAACACTCATGCCCATCTGACTGCACTCTGAAACCACTGGTTCATAACCTGCCATCTGTTACAGCAATCTCCTGACCAACCCCCAACAAGAGATTCTTCCTGTATGTCTAGAGGACAGCAGTCACTGCTTGGCGTGAAGCTTCGACCCCTGAAACTGAAATATGAAGCCATTACAGATTCATAACAGACAGTTTTAAATGAAGGACTTTTGGAGTTATCACATTTATTTATTAAGGAGCTACAGTATATGTAGTATTTAAAGAAACATGATATGACCAAATAAATACTGATATACTTGGCTTTTTTTTTTTTTGTTTCTTGCACGTCAGGTTTTTTGTTTTATTTGCTGAAAGTTTCATTTTCTCAATCCTCTTATTTATTTTTTACTGAATGACAAGAGAGTACTCTGAATGACTTCTTGTTTTGTTTATTATCAGCAGATTGATATTCTGTCAAACAGTGACCCTCAGCTATACTTGAAACGTCCAACATCCATCTACCATTGACACCAGAAGCCCCTAAATGTACTCTAGACGCCCCCTTCAGAGGCTTTATCATTGTTGGGCAATAACAGATCGGTTCTGAGATTACTGGGTCCCCAATGATTTTAGTGTTATGATCAATTGCTCTTGATGCTGTTGTTGATAGCGTATACTTTAAACTGTTTATTGTGTAAATGCAAATTAAAAAGGCGTTGATCTTCTTTGCCAAAGATTGACAAGTGAAGAGTCGTCATAGTTGCACTGGATGGATCAGTGCAGTTTAAGATGGGAGATATTTTTCCCCTGATCTCAAACATCCTGCAGCTGGATTGACAAATAAATCAAACTTAACTTTGTTTGTTTGTTTGTATTGTTACAGAGATGCCCTCCCTCACACGTGTCAGACCTCTTCTCTGACCTTAAGAATGGGTCACAGCTGCTCGACCTGCTGGAGGTGATGACTGGTCAACCTATGGTGAGTCAATCAGATGTTTTTTTTTCTGATTCCTCCTAAAAAAAAAAATCCCTCCAAGAAGTCTATGATTGATCTGTATCGCAGTATTCCAGTGTGAGTGTTGGGCTAGTCGAAATCCAAACAAACACAGAAACAGATAAAGTGGATATTATTCTCACAATAAAGCTGATGTTGTGATTTGTCTTCACAGAAAAGACAGAGGGGCCGAGGGGTTTTCCAGCAGAGGGCCAACATCGAGACAGCACTAAACTTTCTCAAGAAAAAATCAGTAAGCTTCCACAAAAAAAAAAAAAACATGAATAATGGCAGAGAAACACAGAGAGAAATACAATTAGGTGTATTAATGAATCTGTTTTGTTTGATCAGATCAAAATGGTGAACATTAACATCCCAGATATCATGGATGGACGGCCCTCCATCATCCTCGGCCTCATCTGGACCATCATCCTCCACTGCCACGTGAGTACAGATCATAACTAATGTTCTGAACACCACTACTGCTTTCAAAGGCACGGGTCGTGTTATATCCGTTGTATTGTTCTCTCTGTTTTAGATAGAGGAGCTGGCCAGCACTCTCTCCTACAGCTCTTGTCATTCCTCCCTCGACTCTCTGACCAGCCTGGACTCCTTTTCTGGCAGCCCGGTCCCAGCTAGTCCAGTCCATGCAGGCCGGACTTCACCTCTGCATAAACACTTCCGAATATCTGCCAAGAAGGCCCTGCTCATGTGGGTCAGGGACCAGTGCCAAAGGTTGGTTATCCACCGTCTGTGCACGGTAAATCTACTTCTAGGCCTACACTGCTTTTAAGGGTATTTAATTTGTGGTTCTCTCTCCAGGGCTGGTTGCTCTCTAAGTGTGAAGGACTTTAAGAAGAGCTGGAGAAGCGGAGAGGCCTTCCTGGCCATCCTGTGCTCTCTCAGGCCACAGCTGGTTGATCTCTCTCTTGTGCGGTTCAGACGCAACCAGGAGAACCTGGAAGAGGCGTTTCACCTGGCTGAGAGGGAGCTCCACATCCCCCGTCTGCTGGAGCCCCAGGGTGAGGCTGACTTTTTCAGATTGTCAACAAAGGTTGTAGCCATCTATATCCAAATGACAAAGAGCATTAAACGTAAAAATCAAGGTTAAGATTTTTTGGACCACAGTAGTAGTTTTGAGTTATATTACGTTGGTCACCTGTTTAGCCTCATACATATGTCTGCCACCTTGATTTTGGTAGATGGGTGCGACCATAGACTGGATGTTATCTCAGTTACATCGACCATTTGTTTCTAAAGAAGGGTACTAAACCTTTCTTTGTATTTACATGCACTTCAGATGTGGATGTTAAAGACCCTGATGAGAAGTCCATTATGACTTATGTGGCCCAGTTTCTCCAGTACTCCAATGACATGCCTTCACCTGATGACCACCTGCAGGTAGGCAACCAAAACCAGAACTTCACTCTCAGTGTCACAGCTTCTGAAAACTTCACTGCAGAAATCACAACATAGCTGAAGTCAAATCTGAATCTGTCCTCTTAAAAACAAACTACTGTTTCGCCCTGCTGCTTTCTTTCCCTGCTCAGTCCTTCAACCCAACATTTCCTGTTTACCCAACATTTCCTGTTTATTCTTTTGATCCTGTTTATTCTGTTGTGGTGTTGGTGGGGTAGCTGTTTCCTCTGGTTGAGCCCTCTTCTCTCCCATCTGTCAACTTGCCTGCTCACTTTACTCCTGCATTCGCTGTCTCACCGTTACGCCAGGTAGCTGTAACAACTCCTCTTTTGTCTTTAAATCTTTTATTTGCTAGCTTTTCGAAATTCAATTTTCGTGAGTTCAAAAGTTATGACTCCCATAAATACACCTCAATATTGAACCTTTAGGTCCCCCAAAGTGAGCGAGCACTAGAGTTGACCTCCTGGCTGCAGCAAGCCTACCAGGAGCTGTCAGAGGCACGCACAGCTACAGAACATTCAAGCTTTGCTGAAAAATATCAGGTGAGGCAAAGAACAAGCTCTCTAAGAATAGAAAAAAACAACAACTGTGAATCATTTGGACAGTGTTAAGAAGATATGTCTGTATGTGGATCATCAGGTACTTCAGAAACTGTCTGACTCGTTCACTGAGCAGAGGAAACCAGTGATGACCCTCCTCGCTGCAGTAAAGCGCTGCCCTGAGCTGAGCCAGGAGCAGCGAGCTCTCAGGACAGCGTCGGATCGTATGGAGGAGGAGGTGAGGACGTCCACAGATGGAGAGTTGTAGTCACTTATGTTTTGTCTGGAGAATAGCTCCGTCCAATTCACTTCCTTCGTCCCTCTTCAGCGGACTAATAAACACTTTGTTAGGCTACATTGCAAAGACCAGAATCTGTACTCATACCAGGTTTCTGTATATGTGTGTCTTGTCCAGCTGCAGAGGTGTAAAGCAGACCTGGACTCAAGTCTTCCTCCTCCTCTGGACTCAGTCATGGTGTGGCTGCAGCGTGCAGAGGCAGCGCTAACAGAAGACGGAGGAAAACAGAGAGATCATGCAGA